ACTACTACTAACAGAGCAATTATAAGGGTTAAAGCATAGGTCAAATTGCTTCAATTATATACTTAGATCTAAGTTAAAAATTGTTAGGTTTTATTTCTTGGCAATCCCGTTTGACAAAACTCTTTTGAGTTGTAATTTTATTCGCATTTTTATTTCAGTTGACTTTGAGTGTTTAGATGCGAATCCAACCCGAATCAAGCCTTTCAGAGAAGTTTGTGTTGATAAAGCTTTCAAGATTGCCACTTCGCTGATTATGAAATACAAATTATATTAAATATTTTGACATAAATTTTTTAATTTAAAATAAATTATAATCATTTCATTTAAACTGTAACAAACAACCTCATTTTGTTAGACCATCTCTAATGGTTTACTAAATGGTTATTTGATGAAGAAATCCACTTTTTGCAATCAAAGATTTCACCATCTCTAATGGTTTACTAAATGGTTATTTGATGAAGAAATCCACTTTTTGCAATCAAAGATTTCTCAAATTTTTGATTAAATTGAGAATGAATGTACTTTTCATCAAATCACTATTTATAATCGTTGAATTTTTACTACCTGATGTCTCCCGAATAACCACCTCAAGATAAAAATTTGTGAAAAAATTATACTGACCAATCTACCAGTTAAACATTTACCCGGTCGATTAGTGTTCCTCGGTTGAAACGCTTCATAACAAATGATTTTTTACTCAAATTAAATGGAAAAAATATACTATTGAAAACGTTCTTATAGGGCTTAGTTTTTTTGCTGTCCAAACTGGACGGTATATTGTTTGAATTTATAATTCAAATAATTTATTTTTTTTCAGATTATAACATATAAATTATATTGATTCAATAAATGGTGTTTTGAAAAGTTGATAAAAAAATTTATTTTTTTTCAGATTATAACAAATAAATTAGTAAAAAATTAATTTTTAAAAAATTTTAATTTATTTTATCTTTTTATAAATAAAAAATATAAGAAATGATGTAATTCAAAATATATAAAAAAAAATTAATTTTTTATTTAATTGTCAAACCACCCCTAAATATAGTCGGGTTAATTTATGACATTATTTAGATGATCCTATCCTATTATATACTATCAATAATGACTTTTTAAACTTAACAACAACAGCAGCAGCAGTGTTTCTCTCTCTCTCTCTTTTCCAAGAGAGAAAGTTAGAGAGAGAAAGAGATACGAAAAATCCTTCCTTTTGTCGACTGAGATGTCGCACTCATCATCCCCACACCACAACCTCTCTCTCTATCATCAATTACTCTCTGTTCTCTTCTCTTCTCTTCTCTCTCTCGTGACTACTAGTAGTTTGTAATTTATCCTCGTTAAATACATAACAACAGTGAACAACTCTCCTTCAAACTCGCAAACCAGAGCTTCCATAAAAGTATAAAAACCACTACTTGTATGTAAAAGTAATATTGAACGTGTTTTGCATTTATTGTATCACAACTACAAGCATATAATATAACATAACCCCATGCGCTGTTCTGGTCTGATAATTTATTGATTCACAAATCTACCACCCAACCATACCCATTTAATTCTTTGGCATTACATATAATTTTTAAACAACAACAAAATCAGAATCCCAACCCCATCCCATCCCCACCTAATGTATCTTTTTTTTTTTGGACTGTAATTTTAACATTGTCCTCTTCTCTTCTCTTCTCTTCTCTTTTTCTATCTATCTATCAATCTATCCTCCTTTACTTCTCATTAATTAACTAGTATCCTTGAGGGTACAAATCCAGTTGTCACTGCCCAGTTCTGTCAGAGCCATGATTGAATCATTGGGACTTTGAATATAAAAAATTATGAGCAGTGACGTGGAATGTAATTAAAATAAAAAATAAAAAATTGGAGTCTTAACACAAGAACTAATTCAATAATGTGATGGCTGCACATGAGTAATTATTAAAATTTGAGAAATTTTAATATACATCATTTTAAAAATATTGTATTATATATATTTTTAATTATATCATTTTTTCTTTCAATTATGATTCAAATTAATTAACGTTAATCTTCTTATAGACACTCTCTCAACTTCTTCACTTTTATTGAATGGGAGTGCTTAAAGTGTTTTAAAGTGATTATTTTAATTGATTTTTTAATTTTTTTAAAAAAATATGTAAAAAATACAAAAAAGATGATGTAACTGAATGTTTTGATTTTTTAAAATTATTTTAATAAAAAACTAAACAAGGTCTTATTATGCCTCCAGACATAGCAAGATAAGGATCTGCTTAAGCTTGACTTACAAAAATAGTGTCCAAACCAATTGCAAATTAATGTCTAATGGCCATTTTTAACAAGTTAGATTAGACCTTGAGTCAAAACCTTAAACTCAAACCATGCCTTACAAATTTAGCTTAAATGGGCTATTGTTGGACAGGTCGGGATGAAGTGTCATTTCTTACTGGCAACAGATTGAGATTAAGTGTTATAGTTTTGAGAATTTTTTTCTTTATTTTTTCATATTTTCCATTAGGCTCAAGGCTCACAGGCTTGGCTTCAATTTTTTTTCTTCTTCTGTAGGCTTATTAAAAATATTTTCACCTTGCATACATATACAGTACATAAAATACACAGCATATTAGTTATTTTTCATTTTAATGCATGGGACAGCATAATAGTTTTCACTTTTGCAAGGCAGCTGGGTAGCGCTGCATTACATTACAGTCACCTCAAAGCATTAAAGTCGATTAGGACCCCCCTACTACTACTTACTGAAAATTTGTAGGATTCCAACAATAGTGGCATTGGCATGGCAATCCATCAACTATACATAAAAAGCAACCTGATGAACAATGTAAAATTTAGCCCCACCCCACCCATTATTCAAATATTAAAATTTAGGGCAAATTACATATACACCCCTCCAGGTTTGGTTAAATTACAGATACCCCCCTGAGATTTCGGAAATTACATCCCGCCCCCTGAGGTTTGTATTTTCATAACAATTTACCCCCTCAAAAAAAAAAAAAAAAGCTTATGGGATTGTGTGTGGTGCAATGATGGAAACATGGTTATATGACTTGCTGCAAATGAATAAACATGTCTTATTTCCCTCCTTCATTTCCGAACCTATTTAACTTTCTCTGATTTTTCACTTAATTTATCATTGACTTCTGGTAACCACCTTGTTCATCAAATCAATTCCATTGGGGTTTCCATTAGATAAAATAAAAATTGGGAAAATTTTAGTGTTGTGTACACTTTTAAAAAAATTATTACAAATAAATGATAAATTTTATATACATTAATAATTATAATTATATTTTTTTTTATGAATCTATAGTAATTTTTTAATATTACAATTGAGGGGTAAAAACCAAACTAGTACAACCTTCTTTTTTTCAAAAATAGCATTTATATTTTACTTTAAACTTCACACATCGATTTCTTCTTTATCTTTTATTTTTATCTTTTTTAAATCTTGGAGAGGTTAAAAGTGAAAGGTGAACACTACTCTTTTTTTTTCTTTTTTTTTTTTCTAAAATTTATATACTCTCAATTTGGCCAAATTTCTCAATTACATAGTCGAGTGTGTGAAGCTTTGGTTGGTTTGGCATATCTTGCAGTTCTCAATGCATGGATGTATCATAAAATCCACCATTTTCATGATTGCAAAAGCTTAAATTAAAGCTATATATTGATATTGGGGAGTGGGGTGGGTGTGCAATTGAATCATTCTAGGAGTAGTGCCCACACAAAGTTTCTTTATCCATTCCCTTCTTATTTAGAGAGAAATTCAGTCCTTTTTTTTCTGCCCACATGCAACACCAAGGAATGCATGCCAATTGCATCAGTTGGTTCTTTAAAATAAGCACGAAGTGCTGTAATTATGATGTTACTAGTGTAAACCATAATTCCAATTCAGAAAAACACACACAAAAGACAAAAGTTAGAAAAAAATGGGGATTTATAGAAAACCACATGAGAAGAGTGGGAGGGCGTTGACAGAAGAAAGACATTTGGTAACCATCTTTAATCATTTGCAATTTAGAACTTGTATGTGGTTATCAGGGACTCAACAAGTCCACAACGATGAATTTGCTGCCTTTCTCATGGTCTCTTTTATGATTTATCATTTGATTTATTGCTAAAGACGAGATAAGAATATAGAGGGATTAACTTGTGGACAATTAGGGGACGACCCAAACCCCCCTATACCTAGCCTCTTTAATTAAGTCATACTTTGTACCTTTCATCTTGACTTTTGACCACAGGTAGAGAGAGAGAACGTCGGATAAAGCTAAAGAAGATTATTGATTGGAGTAAGGAATAAAGAAGAAGGAAGATAGAGATTTTTTGGTATAGAAAAATGAAGTGAAAGTGCTTTTCAATGATGGATGATGAATCCTGGAACAGTGTGTGTCACGTGAGAGAGAGAGAGAGAAAGAGTGGTATTGGGTTTTGTTGTTTGGTTCAAGAGAAAAAGGGGGAAAAAAGAATGAAAGATGTGGTGGTGGTGGTGGGGGAGGCGTTCTTGTGTTCTGAGTTTCAAGACATGAATCATTAGGTCGATTGACGATGGATTTTATGACTGGTGATGTGGGTCTAAATCTCTTTCCAGTAAAATTATTCAACTTGGTACTTCGTCATTAGTTCAAAGAACTGTAAAAATGTATGTTGAATTTCATTTTGAAAATGAACTCGTAATGTAAATTTAAAATTAGTAACATGTGAATCACACCACAATGACAGTAGGCCATTGATTCATTTTTCTTACTAATTTTCTAGATTTGAGAATTTTAGATTTTTCTCAGTAATACTGTTTTGAAAAATCACAAAACAACGAGACAAACATTAAATAATAAATGGCATGAAAGAATACTTCAACACCACGTGCCTCTATCTATGGATCAGGTGGCGGACTTACGGTAGGCCTAAGTAGGGAAGCAACCAACTTCGGATTGGTTAAGAGATTGTTCAAGTCTAACTTGAGCTGTGTCAAAGTTACTCAAGCTCGTACCAGCATAACAAGCTCACAAAATAATACAAACTCTTATTAACCGTATAATGTGTTTCATGTATGTTAAATTTTTTATTAATATAAATAATACAAGCTCACAAACTAACCTCCCAAGCAAAATTAAAGATCAAGATCTTTATTGAAACTAAATTTTATTCTATACATGTAGGAAACTAACCAAAATAAATACATAAATTGAAAAAAGAAAATAAAAGCAAAAATTGCATTACTTGTGCCATACTGCATATCCGTGGCCAGAAGTCACTAGCGACCACTCCCTGCCAGATGGACACCATGAACCATCTCCGATCTTCATGCTCAATTTCTCCCCAATAATTGCAGAGTAAAGATTTGGCTGGGCTTCAATAATCCTAATAGATGATCGGCTGTGGATGTCTTGATGCTTCCTAATGTCCATCTGCATGTTTACTCAATAATCTTACAGCAGCTTGAGTCAAGAAGACATTGAATTCAATTAAAATGGTAGAAATTAACACACATACCAGCTTCACAATTTCGTCGTGAATGGCATTATCCCAATCATAAAAATGGTCATAAAAAACTGTCGGTATTCCTGGGTGTGTGAGTATGTATGCATAGCCCTGGACAGTGACAATGGTGTCAGAAATCATAAGTAGATAGCCAAAAGACAGGAAGTGTTCTACAAATTGAAGAGATTTTCAGCTACATTTCTTATAGTGAAAAGTCTCGATAGTGATTTCATAAAGCATGTCCAAATACTTTCCATGATGCTTGTATGATCACTGGGAAATTAAGCAATCTGTTTTCGTAAAAATTCAAATTGTTTTACAGGAAAACTATACAGCTAAAGAAGTCTCATTCATCTAACATGATGCAACAAAACAACAATTCATACATTTCCTATCCTCCGTAACGCCAAATGGAGCTATTCATCCGGAAAACCTAAGCCTCTCTCATTACAATTCAGTTTCATTATTCAATAATCAAATGTCATCAATGGACCAGTACATAAAAAGGCTTATAATACCACCCTTTTCACTGTGACCCGTGCCACTCGACTGGTGGGCCACTTTCTAAAGCACAACCAGAAAAAGTTAGAATAGAAGTGTCAGTGCTACTTAGTGCTAGCAACATCTTTCAATTTTCTGTTTAAAAAAAAAAAAAAAAAAAAAAAAATCTTTCAATTTTATTAGTAACTTAGCTTCGTCAAACAAACTCAAAAGAGTATTTTTGGTTATGTATGGGATCGAATCCAACAAAAAAAAATTTGAGTACCTCCATAATATGATGCGAGGGAAAGGGCCAATGAGCCTGCAAGAGTTGAAAAACCATGATCAGTAAGTGGCTGGCTACTGCTTAAGGACTACAAGCTTTGATTCAAGAACATATGTTAGAGTTACTTTTATGCTAAACAAGTATAAGGGGATTCAAGTCCAGCATTAAAAAATTTAACCCAAAAAAATTAGGTAAAATTATTTATAAGTCCTATTATGGAGACTTATGCTACATATGGTCCTACTAAAAAACCTATGTTCCCGTAAATCCTGTGGGAAGTTTGTTGACACATTTACCCTCAATATTAGTTGTTAATATCATAAATAATAGTAAAACCATATATAAGAAATTGAATGTTACCACAAATCATATCTATATAAACATAAACGTAACGTGACACCTACATAAACGTAACGTGACACCTATGATCTATGGTAACATACAATTTCCTATATACCATAGATCATATCTACATAAACGTAACGTAACACCTATTCTCTATGATAACATTCAATTTCCTATAATATCTACAGAAACATAACGTAACGTGACAACTACATAACGTAACGTGACAACTACATAAACGTAATGTGACACCTATGATCTATGGCAACATTCAATTTCTTATATAAGAAATGGAATGTTACCATAGATCATATTTATATGAAACGTAACGTGACACCAACATAAACCAGCAACATTTTCACATTCAATTTAAAAAAAATAAAAACTCATTAAGTTTGCGAAACGTACCGTGACAAGTTACGTTACGTTTATGTAGGTGTCACGTTACGTTACGTTCCGTTCATGTAGGTGTCACGTTACGTTACGTTACGTTTATGTAAGTGTCACGTCACGTTTATGAACGTGTCACGTCACGTTACGTTTATGTAGGATCTTGTGGAATACATTCCTATCTAAATAGGACTTGAGGCTCTATAAGAAATTACACAAGACTTAACCTACCATAAGTGTCTGAAAAAAGACTTATAAATAAATCTCCCAAAAAATTATTCAGTGGAATTTTGACTAGACAGATGATACCATATAATCGCATCGTTTATCAACTAGCTATCCATTTCAAAGCAATCTACAATTTTAAAAGATTAAAAAAAAGAAAAAGAAAAAAAGTTGATAAATGTTAAGAGAGAGATCTCTTTTCTTCTGAAAGCCTATTATTTTTACAAAAGTGAGTTCATAAAGGTGAAACAATGTTACTGTCGAGTTAAATCAGATCGAACCATCAAAATACAGGCATGAATACTCATAGATGCAGTGTGTGAATTCAGACAAGAAGAATGAACCCTGCAATGCTCTCAGATTCATCTGTACCCAACTGTTTTACAAATAATCCAGAAAATTAGTACCTGAGTTGAGCCTGTATCATGGTTGTCAATGAAAGTGACAGCCCTTGAAGGCCACAATCCCATCGCTCCTGGGGGTTTCCCTTGTGGATCACGGAGACGCCATAATTCCCCCTTTACAGCTTCCTGCATAGTTTGATACATTGATGAATGTTAAAAGACGGACCCGGTTCAGTGAAAGAGCCAGCCGCCAATATATTGACAAGACAACTGAATTATGAACAAGATATAAAATTATCATTAAGACAGCTACAACAAAGGAACATGGCAGAGTGCTTCAACATGGATGATCAATAACACTGATACGTTGAGATGAGTAGCCAAGATAAGATTGAAGAGATAACTCATAGGATAGCATTATTACCAATGTAAGCATATGCTTACCACATACTCTGTTTTTTATGAAGGAAAATATAGATTTGTCTCTGCAAACTCACTCTAGAAAATACCTGAAGAATTCCCTTTGTTGTGAAGTCAAATGCAGTTGAAAGCTGCCCTGTGCCATCAATCCAATTGACAATCCGTTGCCTATGACCATCTGCATGTAGAATTAATGACCAGAAGTGAATGTTATATATATATATATGAATAAGAGTTTCTTCTAGATGAAAACCAAAAATGTCTTATCAAAATCTAAGGATTTTTCCTAAATAACAAAATGAACTACTCTTCAACTCATGAAAACTTATTATAGAACAGAGAACTGAGCAAAATAATATCAAATCTATCCAGCTGGTAAAAACAATGTCATGGATGCTTCTAATCAATTGGTGTAAGCTAGATGTTGCCAAGTAATGAGGAAGTGTGGACCATCTCTATTCTGACAGTAATGCTGCAATCTCCAGTTAATGGATAAAGACATAATATATAGAAGAAAAAGCAAAAAGGATGAAGTTTTGAATTCATGTGTTAAAGTGGAAGAATAAAAGAAAGGGAATAACAAATCTAACATGCCAAACACAAATGACAAAGGGAAACAAATGTTCATCACAGAAAGACAGTTAAAAAACCAAGCCAACTAATGTGGTGCTCTCAAAATTAGTGTGATGAATATAGCCACTTTGCTTTGCTGAGAAGGGAGATATAACGGTCATCTCAGTAAGTGCGACCATAAGAGTTACTAGTTCACATAGAATACCCGGGAAAAAAAGAAAAGAAAAGAAGAAATATCTATTTACCATGACAAGCTGCATGCCACAATCACAAGCAACCTCTTGGCATTGCTTTTTTTTTTTTTTTTTTAAAATGGTTCTAATTTGTTCTGACACAATTAGAATTATCAACTTGAAGTTCAGCTAACATTTTACTTCATAATTATGCTACCCATAGAATTGGTCATAACAATAGTAAGAAACATATAATACCTTGGTTGCAGTCCAAGATCTGACCATTGTAATTGCAAGAATCCCAATATTCGCCAACAGAAAATACAGGCTTTGCACCTTCAATGTATTCCTTCACATATTTTGCTGAATAACTAAACAAAAGATTGAGATGAATGGTGAGTTGAATCTTTATGAAGACAGAAGTAACAAATAAAAAGAACAGGGGCCATTATTACTTGGTGCCACGAAAAAGTCTGGGCTGCCAAGCATGACAACATCGATTTCGATAACAAATAAGACAGCCATTTCATGAGAATAATGCCAAAGCTTAGGTCTGCATTGAGTGTCGTGTAAAACAGCACTTTGCATTGGCAGGGCTAGGTCATAGCACTTCCCAAAAAGAAGAAAGCAAAGAAAAAAATCCAATAAAATTACCCTCTTGCAAAATCAAAACGGAAATCTTGGAAGCCAACTGTATTGCGTAGCCATTTTAGCCACCCAATAATGTCTTTTCGGACAAAGTCCTGGGTATGATCAATATTTGGAACCCCATCGAAGTTGTCCCCACTGCTTTTATTACCCTGGAAGGTGAGATTAACATGTATAAACATCAATAACAACAAAAGACTAGATTTTATGGCCAAGTCATGCATCGGAATAAGTCTAACCACCCTTTACTTGTGTTTTCACATGCACACACAGACAATGCATGCACACACATGGAGAAGGGGGGAGGGTGTTGGTAATGGGTGTTTAAAAAATTAATCAATTGCACTGATATGGATGAGGATGCTAAGCTACACAATATAGAAAATGAAGTAGTTAACATATTTTAATATCAACCCATGGGACAAACTATGTGTGCCTCCAATGACATCATTCGAATAGAAACCTACTTGACCAGTGGCAATTTCATTTACATCATCAGTAAATAATTTTAAATAAGGTCGGTAAAATTAGGGGGGGAAAAAACCTAGACACACGACAGTTTCCAGGTCAAACAGTTTAGTCTTTGTAGCTTGAGGATCCAGGTCAAAATTTTATCTCATAAGAGCCAACAAACTTACTGCTTATGGACACGCACATACAGAGCGCTTAGCAACACCAGTTGCTTAGGGACATCTACCACAAAAGTTCATGAAAAGCGAGCTAATTATACTATCATAGATATGCAACACTACATAAATTTTGGACTAGTTTATGCATCCACAGGCAACTAGGTTACAGATAATTCTGACTCCCTACTGTTTAAAATCCATAATATGCGATGTGTTGGCTTTCTTATGTTTTTATCCAAATTTCTTAAATGTTTGCCAAGCCCAACTCCTGAGGCTCCTTTCTTTGTCACTGCTTGGGCATAACATCTATTAAATTAAGGCTGGGAAAGGTGGCACAGCTGGTTAATATGCCTTCTACAAACTCTAAGATAATGAGTAAACATGCATGAACATCAAGACGAGATATGTTGGAAATTCATTTGAGTGCATTCTAAGATTCTTTGGAGAAACTCAAACTAGTAAATCAATTACACAGGTTATACACTTAAAAAGAACAGAAGGGAAGCATTTCTATTACAATTTGAAGAATATTAGAATTTTATGAGAATTAATTTTAAATTAGAATTTTCTAAGACTGCGAAGCAACTTGCATGCAAATTAAAGAGGATAGCATCTCTAAAATCCAAAATTTCCATGTAGTGAGGCTGAAAATAAGTTGACTACACGATCGCTATCCTTACCAATCCACCAGTACAACAAGTCACAGCATGTTCATCCCATGGCAACGGAATTCCATCATAACGGTTATACGTTCCACCATGCCCTATGGTAGTCCCAACGCGGTGATTGATGACTATGTCAGCCATTGCTCTAACTTTGTATTGCTTCATCTTTTGAAGTAAAGCTTTTAACTGTAGTTCAGAGCCATATGAAGAATCTAGAGAATACAGATTTTGAGGAAGGTATCCTGAAGTGGAAAAGAAAGGACCAAAAATAGACCTATTAGGTAGAAAAATAAAAAATCAGTTCAAGTTCTGAAGTGAAATTTTCTTCTGACCTTCAGGTGAACATGAATGAGTTGCTGGTGGTAACCATGCTGATGTAAACCCAGATATTGCAACATCAGGAACCTTGTTCTCTAAATTGTCCCACCAATCATGTTTATGAGACTCCCAATTGAAAGCCTGTCAAGAAAATCATCAGTCAGCTGTACAAACAAACTTAAGAGTCAGTGCCAGGCTGGAGAATTAAGAAGTAAAATCTACTATGATGAAACTGAATGTAACCACAGCCTTCTATAAGCTCAAAGAATCCATAGCTTCATCTTCTTTTTCCAATTAACTTAGAAAATCCTAAACATAGTAAACGCCACTCCAACTCAATGAGTCAAAAAAAAATCGAAATATTGACCTAGGTGAACTTCAACCTTTTTTTCAGGAAAATAAAGCAGGCCATCATTGGCATTTTACCTGCAATAAAATTTCTCTTCCACTACGTATCACTACTCCTGCAAATGAATCCAAAACACACATTAGCCAGCATTAGTAAACCATATATTTTCTCTCACCCGAAAAAGATGAAAAAAATTGAAAATATAAATCAATCTTTTGGTTGATACTACTGATAATTTGTTTCAATATCATGATGAGACAGGGATGAATAGAAGAGGAGAATATGAATCTAGGAAGCCATAGTTCCGCAACGTACAGTCACTTTTCCATGCACAAAACACTATGACATTCAAAGGCCATTTCCAGAGAGTGGTCCTCTAAAATCGACGGTACTGGGAGTGGTAGACTAGCTATAGACCTAACCTTTGACATAACATGCACAAAATTGCTACTCTCACACTTTAACCCGTGCTATTATGCTTGGCAGCCTAAACTTGTACCATTGCATACCAAGTAATGGCCCCTACAAAATGCTATGCCACACAATAATAAAAAAGGATTAATAGGGTGAAGTATTTTTTGCTTCTCTACCCATGATTATACAAATTATTTATACATAAAACGCATAAGTATACATTTGTAAAATACTCTCTCAATTACTATTGTTTATTTTCTAGATTATACAGGAGGGGAGAAAGGAAGGCATTAGTCTAAATCCTTGGGTTAGCTTTTGAACAGACATTCCATGTGCCAACTATTAGTATCAGAGTAAAGAGAGGCAGTAAAGCAGCTAAAACAGAAAGTTAGGTGCCACTGTATAAAAGTCAACAAAATTTAACCACAATAACACTGACAAAATGCTAATTTTGTATTGTCGAAATCCTGCAGAATGTGACAAGAAGAAATGGACATTGTGGGGAAAAGAAAAGCATACCAACATCAGTCTGCTGACTACTTTCATCAAAACCCTGCATTTGAAATATATGATTAGACAAAATTACCGAAGCAGCAGGTTAGCCCCACTGCATAGCATACTCCATGAGTATCAAAAATGAAGAAATAATCCTTAGAAAGATTAGCCGACTCTGGAAACACTAAAAGGGAAAAAACAATTTGAAGTAGGATCTTACATTGGTCGGGTCGCCCATACTAGATCAACCGTTGTCGAAACTGACACTTGATCGAAAAATATGAGAGAAAATCCTGCATCCACAATCAATAGTCAACTCATATTTTGTGCCTTCCATTAACTATTATGTAAGGATTATAAAAGATAACTCCAAGTATATCCAAGCATAATGGAACAATTTCAAGACAAGTTTTCCCTCATTTTAGAAGGATACAAGTTAAACAATGCTCGATCCCGGATCAGTGGCTTCAGAACTGACGTGGCCTGACTAATACATTGTCAAAGCAAAGGAAGTACTACTTAAATATTGTGAGTATCTTTATAGATAATTTGCAAGCCGACTTTGCAAAAGAAACAAACTCTAATTTTCGAGGCTAACTCAACTTTTGTCCATTTAGATGAAGAATCAGGGCCGGCCCTGGGGCATAGGCCACAAGGCCAAGGCCTAGGGCCCTTCAAAATAGACTTTAACAAGGGGCCCCTCTTATTATAATTTAGTGTAATATATTAGGTATGTTTTAAATCTAAAAAAATTAAAAAATGCCCAAACTAACTTAAAATAAATTAACCCATTAAAAAATTGAAAGACCATTAAAAAAAAATTAGTATTGTTATCCATTGAAAATAGACCCAAAAAAGAGGTCTCTCTTATTATAGTTTAGTCTAATATATTAAATAAATTTTAAGTCCAAAAAAAATTAAGGAAGGCCCAAATTAACTTAAAATAAATTAATCCATTAAAAAATTGGAAGGCCCATTTAAAATAATTAGCTTTGTTCTTCATTGAAAATGATTTTACAAAAAAATTAGATTATGCAAGTATGATTAATTTATTTGTACTAAAAATACAAGAAGAGTGAGACTTATTAGTTATTGTACTGTATTGCTAGGTGTCGTTTGGTAATACTTACGTCTTCAGTTTTCCGTTTATATTTACAAAAATTTTAAAAACTTAAATAAAAACTTGTTTGGTAAAATTTTTTATTTATAAATCAATGGTCTCAGTTTATAAATTTAGCCAAAAAATGAAAACACAAAAAATGTGTTTTCATTTTGGGTTTCAGTTTTTTTTTTTTTTACCACCCAACACTAGCTACTACCCGCCACCATTTTCCACCACCGTCTTCCGCCGCCACCACCGCCACCACCTACCACCCACCTGCTACCACCACCTGCCACCACCACTCACCACCCACCTACCACCTACCACCACCTGCCACTACCACTCACCACCAGTCACCACCAGCCACCAGCCACCACAAGTCACCACCCACTCGCCACCACCATCTACCCCTCGCCACCACCACCACCACCACCACTACCACCCACCACCCACCCACCACCACCACCACCACCACCACCACCACCACCACCACCACCACCACCACCACCACCACCACCACCACCACCACCACCACCACCACCACCACCACCACCACCACCACCACCACCACCACCACCACCACCACCACCACCACCACCACCACCACCACCACCACCACCACCACCACCACCACCACCACCACCACCACCACCACCACCACCACCACCACCACCACCACCACCACCACCACCACCACCACCACCACCACCACCACCACCACCACCACCACCACCACCACCACCACCACCACCACCACCACCACCACCACCACCACCACCACCACCACCACCACCACCACCACCACCACCACCACCACCACCACCACCACCACCACCACCACCACCACCACCACCACCACCACCACCACCACCACCACCACCACCACCACCACCACCACCACCACCACCACCACCACCACCACCACCACCACCACCACCACCACCACCACCACCACCACCACCACCACCACCACCACCACCACCACCACCACCACCACCACCACCACCACCACCACCACCACCACCACCACCACCACCACCACCACCACCACCACCACCCACCACCACCACCACCCACTCGCTATCACCCACCACCCGCCACCGTCACCCACCCACTCACCACCACCACTCACCCGCCACCACCCACCACCACCAATTACCCACCACCCACCGTCACCACTTTCTACCACCGTCTTCCGCCACCACTTGTCATTTCTCACTCTTTTTTATATTTTAAATTTTTTTAAAATATTTTGTCAATTACCAAACGCGTTTGTAGTTTATGTTTTTCGAAAAATAAACAAAAACTAATTTATAAAACTTTTGTAAATATAAACTAAAAACGTAAACGTTACCAAACACACCTAAGTATTTTTTTGTGATTTTGACACAAATCTTTTGCCCTTTACTTTCAATTTTTTTTTTTTTTTCATTCAATGAAAAAAAAAATGTAAAGGACCCAGAAATTTATTAATTGATTATCGGCTTTGGGCCTCGGAAATCTTAGGGCCGGGCCTGTGAAGAATATCATCACCCAATGACAAGTGTAGCAAGTGAATAAAGCCCCATTGAATAGCATTTTGGAAGTACTTTTCAGGTTTCATAAATAGAAATGCATAAAAATAAAAACAAAAAAAAAATAGAAACAAACCCTAGAGCATTCGATTTGTGAGGAAAGATACTAACCAATACAACACTCCGGTTATTGCAAAGGCAATCGCAACCTGTGTTTCCCTCTTGATCCTGGATCACTTAAACAGAGCAAGAAAAGCCAAGAATTTGATTGATTTCACCGAACTGGAACCACGATTTTCCGAGCAAAACAGAGAAAAACAAAGACGATTAGAAAGTTTGAAATTGTGCTATAAAAATTTTTAAAAAATAAAAATGGATTGAACTTGACGAATGGTGAACAAAATGGAGAAGAGATTTGAGGAGCTTACAAAAGGAGTATCGCTTTTCAGATTCTGATGATTTTAGGAGCGAATGTTGATGTTTGTTGTATCAACAATGCTAGAGACCTCTAAAAAGGCATCTCTAATGAGGTGGAAAAGCAAAAAAAAAAAAAACAAAAAAAAATCAAGACACATGATTGGCTGTGACAGTGGGGGACCCACTGCCACATCACTAGTGATACCTCTAAATTAGAGGTCTAAAGCATTTTTGTTGTTGTATACTAGAAAGATGACATGCATGTCTGGGATTGCGAAGCGATTTCGAGGTTTTGAACGGTAGAGATCTCAGGACGATTATTTGATGAACAGTTGAGATCTTGTGAATTTACCGACATAACTTACACTATGTTTGGGTGGAGTGATTTGGAGATAAAAAAATAAAAATTAAAAATTAATAGATATGCGTTTTGTTTTTATTTGTTTCTCCTATTCCAAACACAATGCAACAAATAACATGGCATGGCATACGCAATGCGGCTCAAGCACGCAAACATACAATGCAATGAAACAAGCATGTGAATAAGATGCAAGGGACAAGCATGAAAACATGCAATGCAACATGAACAACCTAACAAGGCTAATGGCATGCTCAATGCACATGCATACATACTCAATGCAAGGTGACACAGGCATGCAATCAATGTAAGCAATAACTAGCATACACAATGCAAATGGACGTGGCATACACAACGCAATGAACCACATGGCATACACAATGCTTGATGGACTTAAACCGAAATAGATAGGCCTCAGCCATGTCCAAATCAATGGCCATAATGCTAAAATGAAGGCTTCGAAAACACATACAAACATGCATGCCAATTGGCTCACCAATTGAGGCACTAAGGTGCAACTCTCAAGAGCACTAAAAGAGTGAAAAGCATGGAAGTGTAGCAACACTAAATACACTGAAATGAGGTAAGAAATGATGCCAAATCATTCAATCAACACAAGTATGGCATGGTAGGGTCTTTAAAGCATGAAGCTATCAAAGAGGACTACAAAGGAGGCATGCAATTCATGGCAAAAATGCATGAACTAAGCATGGACAGAGCTTAAATGGGTCAAAATAAGGACCTAAACATGCTGAGATAAGGGCTCAAATACCTAGGCAAGATGACATACATGCTAGGCCACAAACAAGGCAACAATGCATAACACTCAAAGGCATTCAAAGCATGAATGAAGTGGGAACATGAAAATGCTATAAGCTCTGAAATGAAGTATTAAATGATGCCAAATCATCTAAATAGTTCAAGGATAGCATGCAATGGTGTTCAAAGCTTGAAGCAAGCAAGAGCATTTATACTACAAGTATACAAAACGTGAAGCATGTGACCAAGGCAACCCAAAACAGTCCTAGTACATGTTAAAATGAGTCTAAAACATGCATGGAAGTAGGCCAAAATATGCTAGCATGAAGGGTATGAAGCATGGTGAATGCAAGGCAAATAAGGTAGATTACACTACACCTATTAAGACCAAGCATGTGATGACTTAACCAATAAAAATCAGAGTTATATCATGGCATAATAACCCCAAATAACCACTGAAATGATGGCTCGCAAGCTATGGCATGAAGGCATACGCAATGATTCATGTTAAGGCATAAAGGGGCAAACCCTCCAACGCATTGAATGTGTGACAAATGTGAATGTATGGCCATGAAACATGGACTGAAATCACATAACAAGTGATGCCAAATCACTGAAATAGGCCAAGCAATGCATGGTAGTGGACTCAATACATAAGGCTAACAAGCTAGATTGAACCAAGGCTATACAAAGCAAGTCATGCATGACCAAAACAACCAAAATCAGACCTTAGACATGATAAAACATGAACAAAATCTTCTTTAAGCTAAGCCAAAAGCATGCTAAAATGACATGTCAAAGCATGATGTATGTTAGGCTATTTCAAGGGGTTGCACTACAAGTGCATGAGGCATGCAAGGGCCAACCAAACCAGCCAAAAACAGAGTCATGACATGTCAAATGATGGCCAAAAATCTACTGAAATGGAGCTAATACATGCTAGAAAGACATGCTACTTTGATAAGCCACAAATGGGAATACACTACACATACAAGAAGCAAACGCAAGGGGGCCAAACCAGCCATAGACAGAGCTATGGTAGGCCCTAAAAGTCATGAAAAAGTTTCTGAACCAAGCCTTGAAAGTATGAAGATGCATGCTCCTTTGATAGGCCAAAAATGCAAGCAAACAAAACAAGAAGAGAGGGGATCACCCCCCTCTGATTTGAGGCCTCAAAACCACATGCCTACCACTGAAAATCCACTAGATTTCAATGGCTAGAAGTCCAAGCAAGGACTAGCTCAAAGGCCCTAAACCATGGCACAAAACAAAGCCAAACAAGGCATGCAAGAAGGTAAAAGACCCTCAACACCCAAGAGGCCTTAAACAAACATAAAAAACACTTAAATAAAAAACTTTTTCCAGTTGAAAGCAAGGCCTAAATAAGCATGAAAATGAGACCAAGAGAGCAACCAAAATAAAGCTTAAAAGGGAGAAAAGAGGTTACCCTTGAAGCACTGCAAAACCAGCAGATTTCTTAGCCAAGAATCAGCTTTTTAGCCCCCAAATATGTCCTCCAAGAACCTCAGCTCAATGATGGGGGTGTGTGGTTAAGGATTGTGGTGTAAAAGTGAAGAACAACACCCTTTTTAGGCACCAAAAATAGAGATATAGAGGGAGATATATGCTTGTGCCTTGGGAAATTTTCTAAACCTCACCCATAGAGAGGGAGAGCCTCTATTATAGAAAAACAAAGGTTCAAGCTTCTTGGAGAAGCTAAAACTTGGTTACAATCCCTCCATACAGTGTATGGAGATACAGTCTGTGCCCTCTAGCTGGCATAGCTGGCATCCACACAGTCTGCCAAAACAGGGAGAAAGCTGTCGACCACTTAAAGTGGTCGGCCTGCTACTTGAAGTGGTCGGTCGACCACCTAAAGTGGTCTCCCAGAACAAAAGTGTTCGGCAGGAGGAATTGGTGGTCTCCACACTGCAAGCAAGCCATTGGTGGGGGGGAGACCAGAAAATGTGGCCTAAAGACCAAGAAAACCAATTTCCCGACCAGAAAATCGGCTGGCGGGAAGGAAAGTGGTCTCTAAGGGGAAAAACTGGTCTCCCATCCTCGTACCACCTTCCAAACAAGGAAAACAAGGTTTGTACCAAAAAACAACCAACACGGATGCAAAACGAGAGTTCAGGAGGCAAAACGCGCAACCGGGAGCCTCGAAACCCAGCTGTTGAGCACCAAAAGTGGTATACGACCACAAAAGTGGTCTCCCGGACCACAGTGTCCTTCTAGATATAGGAAACAAGGTGTGGTTCAAAAATCACACCAAACGGAGAACGTTAAGCGGTCCCGAGACAAGGCGCACGACCGAGGGCTCCAAAAACCAGAAACTAGTCTCCAAACGAGAAAAGCGGTCTACGACAACGAAAAGTGATCTATGACCACAAAGAGATGGTCTACAAGACCTCTCCCTACCTCCGGGAAGAGAAATAGAGTTCGGTCCTCAGACCGAGCCGAAGCACAAATGAGTTCAAAGGCCCGGAGGCAAAGCTCTCAGCCAAAACTTCGAAACCTCTAAACGAGCACAACATGCACCATCACCGAGTACTCAATCGATGACGTCTGAGTCTTAAGGTCGGTCAAAAATGGGGTGTCTACAGTCACCATTTCAAACAAAATATTTAGGCCTACAATCATGTTTTCTCCTTCACTTCTGTAACACCTTGGAAAAACACCTCCCAAATCCTGCTCCCCTATCTCAATCTGTATAGATACAAACAGTAGATAAAGAAATAATAATACAATTCCATAGCACTTCTTCCCAATTGAACTATTCCCAAAAACTTTAATACAATCTGCTTACATCCAGAGTTAAAAGGAAACAGATCCATAGCTATGAAGTTATACCAAAGAGAGAAATAAAAAAAAAAATGGCAACACTCTATCAAATGCGTCCATGATTAAAAAATAAAATCCTTCACATTTACACAAAATAGCCCTAAGGCTTCAACACAAAACATCAAACTAGTGAGCATTCATGCTTCATCCAAATTGCTTTCCATAGTAAATTGTTTAGATGGCTCGTCAACTTCATTTCCTGAAAATGGTTAGTTTTTGGGGTGAGCGAATGGTCAGTAAGAAGTATATTTAACAAATTATATGATTAATTGAAATACACATGATCATGCAATGCAAACATTTGATAAATTTTATTACGTATGCATATGAATATCTTTATGCATGAATATGAAATGAGCAAATATTAAGGTTAAATAAGCATTTCCTGATTTTTCAGGGGCGGTAAATATACTATGACATTCCAAATAAGAGCCGTAATTCAAAATACATACATAGATATAGATTTTGTATAGTGAAAATAGTCTCACATTTGCCGACTCCAGCAATGGCGGGGTGATGGGCACTCAAAAACATATTTCCCTTCCGCATTTGCCGACTCGAGAAATGACGGGGCTACGGACACCCAAAACCATGTTTTTTCCACATTTGCTAACTCTTGAAATGGTGGGATCGTGGACACCCAAAAATATTTTCTCACATTTGTCCGACGACATACGCAGACAGGACAATTGGGCACCTTGACTCCCCGCGTGGGTACCAAATACAAGACACAACTCAAAACCACCCGACTCATTACCCGAACTCATAAACTATTTACCCCGTTTCAACTTTCCACCATTCAAATCATCATTGTATTATAAAAGAAATTTAATAATGCATATGATGCATAAATTTGTAAATTCTCATTTTCTCCTAAAATGATTTCAATGCACAACAATTCAATAGTTCACATGTCACAATGAGAAGATTCTTCAATTCATAGCCGTCATCATCTCCAGTTTTGGTGTAAAAGTCTCAAAGTCTACCTTTTCAACGTCAAAGTCAAGTAAATACACTTAATTTTAGGTTCTAGATGCCAATTGGGGAAAACACCCCTTTAACTCTTCCAACCATTCATACACATTAGTATTATAACAATCCAATAATTCATATTTCAACCTCAAAGTCCAATAAACATGCTCAATTTCATGTTTTAAAAATCAATTGAGCAAAACTCCTCTTTAT